CAGCAAATTAATTTTTATAGCATTCATATTGTGATAACGCGGCTTAGAACAAATAAAGTGCTTTCTATTTTTTTCATTTTAACAAAAAAATGTGTAACTAATTTGACCGACTTACTATACATCATAATTATATTAACGTAACGTAATAACTAACAAAACGCGATATAAAGTTAAGGTTAGGAATCAACTGAGTACAAGCAGTTATTAGTACAAATATAATAATTTATAATAACATTAACCTTAGTTAACTTAACGTTACTGTGTAACGCGTTTTATCATTAAAGTCTCAAGAAAAGCTGTCCCTTGTTGTTAAAAACATCGTATCTTGAAATGAAGCTTTTAGGGAAAGTTAAAAAATATTTATCGCATTAAATTATCAAGCTGAGTCTATTCCTGTGTCCCTTTGTCGGGAATTAATTAATAAAGGTCCAAGATAACGCGTTCATTCAACGCTATTGTCCACTATAATGAATTTAGAGTTATTCGATCATCAGACAAATCTTGTATACAAATTAAGCTCTGCACAAAAGACAATTATTACAACACAATATTTACCATTACGTGCTTATAATATCCCTTTTTGTCCCTTAAATTAAGTACCAAAGAGGCTTAAGTACTCTGATACGTTTGAACTGACTTTTATAAGAAAAAGTAACGTAACATGCAATGTTCTTAAGCATTATTTATGTGATACGTTGATGTATGTATAGATTGCGAGCTTTACATTGAGTAAATGAAGGAAATTGAATAACGCTTGGGAGTTGTATGATTTTTTTTTTAATTACAAGCATAGTTACGTAGTAAAGATAAATTGTTTTCATTGGGGTATTACAAATTGAAAATACGCACATGATATAACGCGTAATACAACTAGAACTTGATATCGAAGTTTTAAATCGACTATGATGTAGGAAGTTCGTAAGCGAAACTGTAATCAAAAACGATCCAAGGTAATCGAAACAGCTCGAAAGTTTTGATAACATTGTTCCATTGTAATTTTCTTTTTTCATATTTATTTTGTTACATTCCTATTAAAGTATTTTTTTTAACACTTATAATTTGAACGTTAACTTTACACATAATCATAGTTGATATAGTTATTTTATCTTTTACGGTTTGAAATATACGTAATGAAGAAATAACTTTAATTAAGATTGAGTTTTATTTTTTTTTAAATAATATTGTGTTCATTTATAGCATGCCATTGTTACTATTGGTACTGGAGATATATTTTCTAAATGTCGCATTTTAGTGTACAACACTTTCACTGAGGGAATTTCGATACGTTGTAGTGAAGGACACATTGAAACTCCTTTTAATTCCCAGGAGTCGACGACCATGTTTTGATAACAAACAATTTATTACACTAATTTAAAGTTCAATTTTCCAATACTTGCTTGATTAACTTTTCAGTTTGTTTAGGTTTTATAATATTCGTGTAACCTATATTTAGCGATTAACGTTATTGTTGACATAAATCGTAAATAACAATCAACTAATTCTTTGAAAATCACTAGATGTGTTTGTTCGAATGAAGTCAAATTTTATATACTTTTAAGAACCAACTTACCTGCTTACTGCTATTAAGTACTAAAATTGACTATTAACATTTGGAAAATAAGATAAAAAGACTTATTACATTATTTTATTATACTTGTATAAAGACATACTGCTGTATTATTCATGTGAAATTATATAATGCCAATTATTTAACATACATAGTTGTCATACAGCGAGGCACGTCCACTGTCTCCGCACAATGCCCCTCCTAATAGAATCGGATCACGTATTGACATTCAACAATCATAATTGCATAAACTACTGCTAATCATGTTCCACGCGGACAATTAATAATATTACGTCAATCATCTAAAGATTTATCTTCAAGCGTCAGTTTACTCGAACATTGAACAGAAATGTAAAATCTTACTAATTAATGTTACAAATCGAAAGTTTACATGCATGTTTGTTAGAGTTTGTAGCCCTAATTGCTGATCGGATCTCAATGAAATTATCTTTTGACACATTGTAATATTCTATTACTTTCATCCGTTTACACGTTTTCTAATAAAATTAATTAATACAACTAAGGCGACTTGAAGAATGTTTATTGTTGTTCTAAACTTTTAAAAGTTATCAATTAATTTTGTTTTCCTTTCGGCTCGATTATTTCGTGAAAAGCGATTTCCGTTGTTATAAAGTTGCTCGGTAGCAATGTGCGAGTTTAGAAAAGTATACACACAATGTTCTTAAGCTCCTCACAAAATACAATTTGTGTGCGATTCAACTTGGAAAAACACATCTTTCATACTTTCTATCACAGTAAAATTTATTCCATTTACCTAAAAGAATTCCTGTATTTTGACATTGTTATCTTTTATTTATTAACTAGCTTTCGTCCGTGACTCCGTCCGCGCGGAAGTTAAATAACAAAAACTAAATTAAGAAGCATATATGTTCTTCCAAACTATCCTCTATATCCATTGCAAATTTTATTGAGATCCGTTCAGCCGTTTAAGCTACAAACTCTAACAAACATCCATCCATACATCCATCTAAATTTTTAAGAATATTATTAAGATAAAGATATATTTACACAGATATATAATTACGTTAACGTTAAATTGATACATACATAATTGACGTGCACTACTCGTAAAAGTTTTAATATTTCATGTCAATATCGCAACCTAACTATAACACTTTATTTTTAATAGTTTTACGTCATCTACAAATTTTAATCCCCTTAACGTTAGTCCTATGCGATAAAGTGTCGTGCTCGAGCCGATATTTGGGCAGGTAATTAAACGCTCAAGTGTTTATAGTGCGAGTATAGAGCGGTGCTTCTGGCAGAATCGATTTAGTTAGCTATCTTTTCTTTACTGAGGTCATAGTGCACTTTTTTTTTCACTAACCGCTAATCGAGCGATGAAGCTTTTCAATTCCAGCCACAAATAGATACACTAACACTTCAGAGAAGGAATATTAATTTATTTAAAGACAACGAATATAGCTTTTTATACCAAACTAACTGTTACCGTGCGGCTACATCCGCATGAAATTATAAAAAAGTATTTCATTATTTCCATTTCGCAAAATCTTAATTGTAAATGTTAAATTTACCATTACCATAACGTTACTTCCTTAATGTTGGCTGTTTGTAGTTTATGGTCCCTTTCCTACGTGTAGGTTTTTTCCAATTTATTTTCCCCCTAAGTTTAATAGTGTGAAAATATATAGTCTAAAGCGTGTCGTAAGTGTAGGGCTTGTTATTAAAGAAATAATTATTAAAAAATATGCTGTGATTGCTGACATTCTACGCCACAAAGTAGTGTGTTTTCGCTTTATTATATTAGTAAAGTTAGTACAGATTATACAGTACCTTTGTATGTTTGAAATGGCAAAGATCAAATAAGAACTATGTCGTCATACTGTTGTAATTGGAAACAACCTATACGAATTCATAATCTTCTTAATTAATCAGTTGACATTAATACCAACTACTTTGATGTGTAACAAATGTTAAACAGAAATCTTTAAACTTTGGTTGTATTTGATGTTGATTATATTTCCCAATTATTGGAAACTTAATGAGTTATTTTATTGCTTTATTCCTAAAGAGAATTACTGCAAAATGTCTAACATTTAAATTTGGCTGATAAATAACTATATTTCAACGTTTAGAACAATTAAGATCAAAAACCTTAATTTTACACTCTTCGTAAAATAGTAGAGTTCAAGTCTTTGTTATCCCCTCATTTCCTTGATTGTATCTCTTCTTTTGTTGCCAGATTTAGTGCAGATTTAGTTTATTTTAATAATTCATGCATAAACCTAGAAATCCCCTTAGACTTGATATCGGAAATGCAGTAAAAAGATTTCATAGAGCTTTAAAACAATAGCCAACGTCTCGTGAAACGTTCCCACATAGAGTTTATTGCTTTTATATGTAACATTGAGTTAGGAAATGATATGCGCATTTTAAAGAAGAAAATGTACTTTGTAATAAAGACATAAGTAACATGAACAATTAAATTTTATTTAAACTATAGGAATGTAACGCAAGTTTTAATTTTAAGAAATACTTTCAAGTATTGTCAAAACAAGGAAAAGAGATCTGTATATCAAATAATGGAAAAGTTTTTAATGATTTCGTTAAAATGTTTGTATTTATTTCCCCATATTAAAAATCAATAACTTTGTTTCGTTTCCCGGGCATTTAAATGTGTATTTTAAGATACCCTGCAACTGAATACGTAGAGACCATTACCAAAAAGCATTTGAACAAATCATAGGTCTTTATAATTCAGTATCTATCGTCTATCTGTTAAGGGTTTGTTTACAACGAAACTGTTGCGGAAGGACCACTAAAAAGTGAAACAGGTGAACACTGACGTGTTCTAGATTCGCTCAGTACTATGCCCGAATTGGGTCATGTCGATCATACCTCTTTGTACTGGGAGAGCGACATGATAGGTAAAATTTCATTACCGTCAAGCGTCCGAGATAGAGCCGAATTGAACATCGCGTCCGGGCAATTAATTAAAATCGACTAATTTACAAAGGTATGTCACCCGTACGTCTTGTATTTCAAGATTAGTGCATTTTCTTTGTGTCGTTTATTCAGCGCGAAACATATTTCAATACAAAATACAGTGTTTTTGTTTACATGTATATTGTATCGTAGATTGTTGTATTAGAAATTAAATTCTTGTTTATTCACAGTCTTTTAATAATTTTACTGAGTTCACCTTTTACTTATTTCTTTGTTTCTATCATGATCATTATTTTAAATTGTTCGTAGTCTAAAATAATAATCAAATAACCACTCTCACGACGACATTGTTTGATATTTAATGGGATTTTAAACGTTATATTTATGTGTTTTTTTTTTATATAAAACATACCATTTATAATGTTAAGCTGATTAATCTTTTAATAGTTTTAGTACAAGTAACAATTTTTTGTCAGTTTCTTATGAAACAATTGTTTTGTTACAGATATCTCATTCTACTTCAAGTTTCAACAAAACAGACTCAATCATGGTAAGTAATTATTCACACAATACCATCTTTAAGATACTTGACTTCGTATCGATTTCGCGAAATTGTTAATTAATATTTTGAGGAAATAATCAAAGCTGTTCAACTTTGTAATTCTTTGTTAGAATCTTTAAAAAATGTAAAATGATTGAACAAAGTTCTGAGTTTATTTAATACGTCAACTTTCTTTAAACGAATTACAACATTTTTAATGTAAATCTTGACCATTAATAATTGACAAAATTATTTACACCCTTTTTTCCTTTCAATGTTTCTCAAACTTCACCTGTTTAATAATACTAACACTGCTCTGTACAGGATAACTATTCTCAAAGACATCAGACCCCCATTATAATGTCATTTACATCCACAAATTTTCCAATCTAAGTTATCGCACAATAAGAGCATAATAGATTTAGTTTCGTGTAATGGAGCGGTGCTGGCGGGAGGGATATCCCGATACGTTTTCACATTAATATATATTGCTATATCTCAGATCATAAGGTAACAATGGATTAAATGAGCTTAGTTATATAACATTGAAAAGATCACGAAAATGCTCTTTGAACGACAAATAACCTTATTAGGGTAAATGTTATTATAACAGATAAGTCTCGGATGGATAAAGTAGACAAAGAAATGTCGAAAATCTTTTGAGGATAATCGTAATGTTATAACTGATTGTTTATTTCGTTTTTGATTTACTCATTCAAAGATTTATTTTTAAATATTGAAATAAGTTGAAATTGACTTATAAAACCTTTAAAATTTTAATTGCGAATTCGAGGCTAAGTTTTTATACAAGCTATATAGGCTAAGCTTTCATTCTGTAAGTTTTGTCGCAAAGAAAACAATGAATAACTAAGTTTTTAATCGACAAACAAAAACAGATAAAGGTCCAAATGAGTGTGCGCTCTTTAAAAAAAACTATAAGCATATTTACGTGTAAAGTTAGGTAAATATGTGCATATATTATTGACAAAGACATAAATTTAATGTGAGATTTTCGTCTATATGAATTATTGAAAGTTTCGGAAATTCTAATCTAAGATTCCGAATTTAATTAAGGTTTATGAATAGTTTAAGGAACTTGAGATTTAAGTTCCTAATTCCGAATATCGAATACGTAAGTCATTTAATGGAATGTCTTTGTGAAAGAGATCAAACATGAACTCAAAGCAAGGTTTTTGAAAAGCTTCGTTTGAGGTACGTCGGAAGCGGACTTCCTATTATTGGTACATCGCACTCTTTGACTTTTAAGAGACAGGACTCGACAAGCGCACATTCGCCTAAAATAAAAACGTATGCTTGTGTGACCGTTCGAGAAATAGATCGATCGATCGCCTTTTGAGTAAGCGTTCATACTGACATAAGTGTCAGCATAATATGCACATGCGTGATCGTTCCTTGTAACCCCATGAAAAATGCATTACTACAACTGCGGCTCTTCAACTAGTCTGCTCTTTTATTATCAAAGCTTTCGCCGCTAGCAGCCGTGTCAATATTTGTCCAATCTCGAACGCCGTGTCTCTGACACTTGTTGCGTTCGATACTTCCGTACGCTTTGCTATCATCTATGCATGTTATGTTTCTCATCGTGAATTATTAATTAAACTGATACGTATTTTCAAGTTTAAATTTGAATTTTTAAAATTAAGCGTGAGTATTTTAACGTTAGTTAGCATCTCAGAAAGAAATATTCCTTTTGCATGGTTTAAAGAGAGAAGGAAAAGTAACGTAAAGAAAACAATATTTTACGTTGCGGGTTATGATTATGATACCCAGCTGCGAAAAATAATAATCTTATGTGTTCCAAAAATAAGATAAACCTATTTGGGGCATTGGCAGAATAACACACTTTTTATTTTAGTACACTATAATAAAAACTGCATTGTGAAAAAGTCCAAAAAATACTTTAAAAATATCTCTTTACTCAAAAAGCTAACAATTCTAGGTGTTTTTATTTTTTATGTTAATATGTAAACAAGCTTGGTTATCAAGATCTTGCGATATTAAAATGTGCCAATAAATAACGAGACCCAAAAAAAGCAAGCGTTCCACCAGCTGACTTATCTGAACGAATTTATTGTGGCCCTCTGTTCCAAGGGTCATGGTAACAAATGTTACTGTCTATGCCTGTATTTTTTAAATTTTATACGTTTACCTTGACATTAGAATGGTAAGTGTAATTATGTTGTAAATTTACTATTTTATTTTTTCTAAAAAACGGGAATAATCGTTTACATTTGTATTCGCTGATAATAATGAAATATATTTTCTTTAACAAAAACCGTAAAATACAATGACTTATCAATCATTAAGGAAAATAAGGAACAGTTTCATATAAGACCTTATTGTTCCTACAAAATATAAAGCTATTGATTAGTATTCAATAGTGATTTAAATAATAAAGGTATCTGTAAAGATTTTCTTTGAATTTGAAGCGAGAATAAGTAATAAATCATATAACAATGAATTGTAATTACAAACAAAAGAGATAACAGTAACTTTTCTTTATTCAATCGATGAGTAAACTTATATCTTATAATGTTTAAATTTACATAATTTGTCATTATATTCGGAAAAAGATGCTGTTTCAATATTTTAAATTTGTGGAAGAAAGTGAAGAAATGTTCATCAATTATAGTTTTAACATATTGCATAGATTCACTTTATTATGCAAACTTATCTTTATGAATAACTTAGATGGGTTATTGAATTTTCTCCGTAGCGCTTGACATCATTATCGTCGTCAAACGACGTGAATCGTCACTTCACAAAGTCAAGGTTGATGATATCCAAAGGTTTTAGTTTTGAATGACATCGTTTCTTTCTGAATTGAAATACTGTTGAGAAATGTAATTAACTAGTTTTTGCTAATGACTTTGTCCGCGTAAAATAATAATATCTAGTTAGTAATAAATGTCAACTATGATACTCCTGGATAATGTAGCTTTTCAACATTTTAATACTAGTAGGTACAGTTTTTATTATTATTATTATACAATTATTATTATTAATTACAGTTGTATAATACGAGTACAATAATAGTATCTAATACCGTACAAATTCTTTGTAAATTCGCAACTATGTTACATCTAAATGCGTCGTTCAATTTGTCTGAACGTAAGCTGTGCGGAGGCTGCGATGTAATTTAAAGTAAAGGAGGCTTTTCCACGCATTAGCCGTGTCACTTGCTTCGTGGCTTTCGGTAAAGACTTTGCGGTTTAACAACGCTAATATATTACATATGTGAGCACACACGATACGAGTAGGAACATATTTTATTCACAATCAACGGCCCTTTCACATACAAGTATTAAGATAATCTTAAACGAAATGTCTTCTATGGTAATAGTGTTAATAGGGAATTGCTTTGTGAAATATCGTGTATCTATGTGCCCGCAAATAAATTAAAAAGAAAAAGAAAGAAAGAATTTACGGCAGCACCTAGAGTCGCTTAATTATCATGCAATCCTATTAGCCCTTAGTAGAGTTGATTTTTTGTAATGTTTGTCGTGCTGTTAATGAGCATTTAAAAAAAGAGGGTTGATTTCTGACATGTTATACCGTGGCTATTAATAAAATTATTTTGCTTAAAAAATAATATCTGGCAATATACAATTACTGTTCAAAATTAAAAAAAAATGTGATAATAACAATAAATTCTTTAACGCGCACATGGGTCATGAAACGAATGCGTCAATGGGGCGTGAAATTATAAACACTATAGTGATATATAAAATCCACGACTTGAAAAATCTAACGGAAGTAATGTGAGAAAACGCAGTATTAACTATCGTTTGTTCGTATTAGAATTACAATAAAAGTAATGTATACTGCAAGAGGAAGTGGGTTGAAAAATAATCAAGATTTGTCTATAAGTTAATAGGTATGAAAAAGGACTGTTCGGTCTAATTGAAGGAAAAGCTAATAAGGATTTGTAAATAAAACGGAGTATGTGACTTAGAGGGATGAATAAAGATGGATGCTCTTCGTACAAAATTTTTGTTATAAAATAAAAGGAATTTTGTCCTCGGTATAATCACGTAGCTGAATTAATAAATACCTATCTTCAAAGGCAAAATAATAATATAATGTTTAACATACATTTCGGTTAAAAGAAAGGTTATAAAATTGATTTTTGTAAACGGTCCTCATTCAAAAGTTAAATGTTAACAAATATAATTGTATCGTATTATTTACAATAAATAAACAGAAAATGTATCACAAAGGACAAGTGGGCGACATAAACGGCGAAAGTTTCCTAGTCCTCTACAAATAAAGTGCCTTCGAGTATTGTGCAAATGGAGTGAATTCTCACCGCAAACCTCGGAGCATGAGAACGGACATGTGATCTCACTTGTTGCCCCCCTATTGATTCTAATTAACCGACACTTTTTGAACCTACGACAGGGTGCTTTGAACTTTAGTTTACTCTATTAAATTATTTGATTTTGGAGTAAACATATACGAAATACTACACAATTAAGTAAACAAATAACATGTAGAGCCACAATAAATATATTTTTATTAACTAAAAACTGTAAACTTGGTTAGTTTTCTGTTTTTATTGTTTGGAAGGTTTGTATAATCGTTGACTGCGATTGTTGTGGGTTATAATCTTGACGACTTAAATCAGACGCGCATCATAAGACTGATAGGGCGCACCCCGCTTTTACTTAATAGGCTTGAGAAAACCATTTTTATCGTTTTGCCATTTAACGTAATTCGAAAAGGTAACTTAAAAGTAATTTCTCGATTTAAAATGTTTTGATTACGCTTTTAAAAATTGTGCCGAGGATCAAATTAAATAACTTTTTGTAATAGGATTATTTATTCGATATGATATACAAAGCACATAAATTGATCTTTGTATGGAGGACTTTACTGGCGAGTGGGATGTAATACATTCGTATATTAAAAAGTTAAAAAAATATTTATTAACTACATAATTCTTTGCTTTAATACGTTCTGCTTATACTTCGTGCTGCTAAAAAGTTTGAGCCAGAAAGATTCTAGACATTTGTTTGATTGTATTAACTTAACGTCGTTTCCGCAGATGTGGTGGGCAGTATGGTGCGTGGCGGTGGCTGGTGCAGGCGCGCTAGCGGCGGCCGCCCCCTCCGACGGCCTGGTACCTATCTCCACCGCGGACTGGGAACAAATCGACGCCTCCACTACCGACGACGTAAGTCTCATTGAAAATTTTACTGAGTTTTCTTTCCGTGGCAAAATCACGCCAATATAACAAATTATTCAGCTAAACCGTACAAGTTACAAAAAAGTAATATTATACAAGTTTTCACACTAATAAATAGCAATTATTTTGTTACATAAATTAATTTAAGCCACTTAATATTATACAGTGTTTGACTACTTCAGCGGTATTATTTTGTGACAAAATTAGCGTTTAAATATTTATGTATAAATTAACATTTTGTTCAGCCAATTAAACCGTGGCCGCCCAATTATAGTGCGAAACTCAAATAAATTGATTGGTGTTCGGATCGACAGGTTTAATTACATCGAATCAACTTTTTACGCTTGTTCCCTGTAATAAGAGATTTGCAGTACGAATTAAATAAAGTCATTGAACGCTTTGCAAGTGAAATATTTGTACAGTAATTTTAATTTAACCTGAAAATGACTTTAATACTTTATTGGTACATTTACTAACTTATTTATCTTGTAGAGATATCTAAATTATATCTGAACTGTAACTTCTTCTATTATATCAATTTTTATAATTTTTATAGAAGCCATTTTCATCGGTCAGTCCATCTTATGGGATACCTAACTCAGAATTGCGTCTTTATTTAATAATTATAACTCTGTATAATTTTTAATAACGAAAAGGATTACACTGTCCGAGACTCAAGAGATACGTAATATTAATGAGTTAAGTGAAGTTAAGTCTCATACGGAGAACAAGCCAGTCATCTTTAAATATTTAGACACGTCTACTGAGATTGAACAGCAAATTACGTTGGTTATCATAAAGACGTATTTTCTTGACATTTTAAAATATGATTTAAGATGTTTTAGTTTAAATTCCACGATCGCGACGCGTCCTTTGCTTTCATATTTGCATATATGTCCTCAAAGGTGAAACGATTTCCGTCTGCCGCAGGCAAGGAAGTATTCGGTTGAATTTTGTCGAAATTCGTACCTTTTCCTTGCTCCAAGTACGACGTCGCATATAGTGGAAATTTAGCGAAACAATTTTACCGTATAAATAATGACATATCTTGTTTGATATTCGCATTAAAATTATGGAATAGTTTTACATGTAAGACGGTACAAATTATTTTTATGGCGATATCCTAAGCTATTAAAATTTCCGTTGCAGCGAAAATTGATAGGGTAAACTCCAATTTACTAAACAAGAAATTAAAAACAAACACAACTTTCATTGGAAATACACGACAGACAAAATGTTCTAAAAAATAAGTACACTAAAAAGTAACGAAATGATTTCGTGAATTAATTAGACCTCCCTTATTGTAGCTTACTTGTTGATTTTAATATTTACTAACCGTTGTACCAGGAGAACGTGGGCAATGCTGTAGCTCCGATGGGCGGACGCTACGCCGCCGCCGCTCCCTGGGTCTACTTACTCGCCGACATGCCGAAGGATTCTCAGGTAAACTACACGATATAGTTACTACATTATAAATTTATACGTTTTGACTTACAAATATTATTTCAATCGTATAATATTAAATTTTGGAATACCATTCTACGGTAAGTAATGATTTATTCATATATAAATACCTTTAGCAATGTGTAGTTGTCGGTACCTAAAACAAGTATTGCTGTAGATATGATTCTTTAAATGTTTTATTAACTAGTTACTTATGCCCTTTCTATTGTAAATTAATAAAAGAAAATACACAAAACGTAATGTAAATGAAATAAAATTTACGGCTGAGGAATACAACAATTGCCACATAATTTTTTTTTAGATGAAACACATACTAAATTTTAACTCTACTCTTTTTCGAATACACAATAAAAATTGTAGCGATAAAGTTTATATGATAGAAATAACATTGCTACTTTTATTTACAAACAGAACAAGTAAAGTGTTAAAGTAAAAGGATTTAACATCTTCGTTGAACAAATTAATTAACAGAACCATTAAAACAATTTACGAACGAGGAAAAACGTCGGATTCGATTCGGTAACATTTTCCGCTTTGTTATTTTAATCGTCCGAGATTTTCTCGGCCCCTTTACTAACAGGTAAAAGTGTCCCTGTAATTAGCACAACAATTAAAACATTTACAAGGTACTGTTAGCAACTTTCCGAATGGTATTTTAACTATTTGTTAATTTAAAAATGTTAATGATACTTGGTATAAAAAAAAAACTATCGTAAACGGTTCACTTTAAATAGAGTGATGCTTTATTACTTTGCTCAACAAATGAGCTTACGTTTTATTATTTCTTATCACGTTTTGCTGTGTATTATTTAATGTTAATGCACTTAATATGGTAACGCTCGGTGTTAAGTTCATAAAGTCTGTAAAGGTCAAAGTTGATGCGAAGAGATCCCGTAGCTCAATCTCCGTGTACCCGGCGTTGGAAGTATTGCAAAGAGGAGCGTACAACAACTACATGGAGAGGCTGGCCCACGCCAACAGAAATTTCCTCAACTGCGTCGGAAAACGAGGTCAGACAACATTAAATATAGTAATTAAACACTAACTACTACTAAGAAAGAACTTCAGTAAGATTTCATACGTTTATTAAAATTTTTCATTCTAAGAAATAATTTTTTTTTTAAATTTAAAATTCGCAATATCTGCAAGAATTACATTTTACATATATCTTGCTTTTATCATATTTTTTTATCTTCATAACGCAGTTTTTTTAATTTATTTTTTATAATTTTTTTAGATCCCATGAACAGCGCCGACTGCAGACTGAAACACTGAACTGATATGAAGAATGAGTACCTCCCGTCCTGCCCTTCGTTGAATAGTATTTTGAATTTTTGATGTTTGAATTTATTAATGTTATTAATTATAGATAAATTGTACGGAACTGTGTTAAAAATAATGTAATTATTATAATAATAAACTATTTAACCTATATCCACTATTTTTATTTAAGTCACCATAGTTAGGTTCTTTGTTATCTATCCCCAACTCACATCACATAAAAACATAAAACTAAAAAGAATACAATTCACACCATACTACACTAATAATTTTAAGGTTTTAAGTAAAAAAATGGCAAGAACTAACTAACAATTTAATGTTAAATAACAATTACAAGCGTTTTAATAAAAGTGTGGGTTGGGGATGAAGGTTGTAACTGGCAGGGTGAAGCGCCGCATGCCCTCGCTGTCCATCGATCTGCCGATGTCGGTGCTGCGACACAAACTCAGCCAGGAACAAGAACGTAAGGCCCAGGCTCTCCGAGCAGTCGCTAACAGGAACTTCTTAAACGGCATCGGCAAACGAGGTATGTTAAAATGGCAAAAGTTGTCACATATAGATGACATTGTTTGCTAACATTACAAAAGTTATTATCTACATGTGACATCGTTTGCTAATATTACGAAAGTTGTCACCTATATGTGACATCGCATGCCAACATTGCAAAAGTTGTCATCTATACACGACATCGTTTGCTCACTGGCAAACGTTGTACCTTAAATATGACATGTTTTCTGCGAAGAATTGATATTTTTGTAGACTAGGCATAATGTCCATTTATGTAATATGTTTATTGATTTAGAAGGCTTTTTATGGATGAATAAATTTAAAAATACCTTGAAGTAATCAGTTATTACAATTGTTACAGCTTTCCAATGGAATCCGGAAGAAGTGGCAAGATTCTACTAAGAAATACAATTCGGAAAAACGAAATATCGACTTGATGACATGATAATTGACAAAATTGATCCAAAGAATGTTGTATAATAAGCTTGTTATGTATAGATTTTATCAAGATATTACATTTTATGCTCTGTATACACATAACCTCAAAAAAATGACAATTTCTAGTCTAGTTTGTAATAATTTATTATATGAGCTATAAGACTTTTTAACTTATTGAAATTTGTTTAGATAGAATATTATTTCTAGGTGTAACTATTTATTTTATTCAGTGCATTTAGTTAGTTGTAATTTATTTATTTTAGTAATACGATACTGTTATTTTAATTTTCTTGTTAAGTGCAATAAAAGACATCTCGAATGATTAGTTGTATTATTTCAAACACTTTTTACTGTTTTATTAATTTTACTATCTAAACGATAACATGAAAAACGAAAACTTCCTCAAACAGCGACATATCTTGTCAATATATTTATTGGTTACATTATTGAAATTACTTAAGTTTACTATTGTTAAATTTATTATTACAATGTTATCCAAACAAATGTTTCTTATTATTCGATATTGTTAGTAATTTATTGTGATAGAATAACTTCGATACTTATGGCCTCACTGATATTAATTTAATATTTCTCAATGAATTAGTAGGATATTCGATCGTATATGAAATTAGGATATGTAATTCGATCGGAACATATCTTGTCTTTGAGTGTTACCATTCGTACATTGTATTTAAATATACTTATTCATAATCTAAGGTGAAACGTGAAAACGTACAGAAAGGAAGATCTATTTATTAAAAATGTTTAAAACTCACTCCGCAATCGATTTTTAATTAGCCATATCTATTATTTAATTAGCTTCATAAAATAACATTTGCATGGTTACTTAAAGTAGAATTTAATACTACCATTTAAGCTGTAAGTTAATAAGATTTAAAAATAATTTTTCTAACACTGTGTTATTAAACGTGACACAAAACAGCTATAATAAAAAAATACTGACTTCATAGTATTCTATATTCGGTAATTTTATGAGAAATAAAAATATTGTTGTCACAGAGGTCAGAGTGGCTGGAGGGCCGGTCGCGTCCGAAGCGCAAGATGCCATCGCTGTCGATCAACAACCCGATGGAGGTGCTGCGACAGC